TTGGTATTAGATCTTTTGTCAGGCCTTTTCCTCAATAAAGCTTTTGGCTGTTTGGAAGAAATCACCAAATATCATCAGATTCTCCACTGAACACAGATGCATGTGTGGAGAGCTCACCTGTGTGATGCATGAATGGAACAGATTGCATTTAGTTAAATGAAAAATGAAGTTGATTTCATAGTTAATATTACTTGAAAGATTAAAAAAAAGGCAGAATTTATAAAGAGGATCAAAGCAAATAACTCTGAAGGATCTGATGAAATAATTTACAGGTGGAGAGATATGGATCACTGTAGGAACTGTACATGGAGCGTGCATAGCGAAACTCACCCACTTAAAACAGCAACCCTAATAGCAATTGAATTACTTGGAGTCTACCTACATAAAAGCAAAGGCGGGGAACTACTGGATTTTTACAGTTCTACCATATGCCAGTATATGAGAGGAACTGTGTCTCATATAGCCTTCAGTAACTTTATTTTAGAATTTTGTTTCCTAAAGCATGTATCACATCAAAATTCAGAGCTTGAAAATAAGTTAATTCAGGATACAATTATCTTGCATATCTCTTATCACTTATCAGTGGCTAAGTGAATTGTTGAACTGAACTTTATGTTGAGAATCTTGCCAGAGAAAAGAAGTTGAGGGAAAGGATTTTTTTTAGACAAGGTTGTCTATGCCTGGAACTGTACACTACACAAACTGAAGCTCTGAGTTTCTCATCTTGCCGTGATATAGGGGGTGGAAAGGGAGAGAGCCTTAAAAGCATTGCACACATGTGAATATATGTCAGTATTGAAATATACTTTTTACTGAATATGCCAAAAGATTATATTTGTGTTTTCACATGTCCAATATATATTTATTTCTAACTCTGTGCTCTTTCTGACTGATGAAATATTGGTAGGGATATTACTATAAATGAAGACCTTTTAATTTTGGATGTGTTAGTTTAGGGAAAAAAATGCTTAAGGAGCTTGCCATATGTCCAGTAACTTAGAAATACACGATTAGATCATGTAGGAATGGTTCTTTCACGAGTTATCAAAATCTTCAGAGTTTAAACTGTTCAGAACTTATAGCTAAATAACAAAAAATACAGGTCTCTAGAAAGTATTTTTAAAGTGTAGTAAACTTGAAGATTGATTCGAGCGGTCTTCCAGAGCTGGGCAGGTGGAAGGAAATGGACAAATGTGAACTTGAGGACAGCTGTTGGCAACTTGGTTATTGTGGTGGCAGCTGGACACCCTGAATGTCATTTCTTAATAGACAAAAATATTTTTACAAGGAGGAAGTGTAGCCGCAAGAAGAAAATAGTGGAGTTTTATCTACTTGAATTCTCTTCCTGAAGAACGGAGAGGCTGGTTGTAGCAGTGTTGTTGTGCCCTGAAAAAAAGTTAGGAGCAGGGGAACTTTGACATGCTTGGGTGTGCTTTTGAGTGCTGCATTTTTGTGTGCATAACTTACTGAAGAAAAATGCGATTCGGCTTCGGTATGTGATGTATGTGCATATGAAGATAACGTCAGAGGGCATATATCCTGGAGTTTTTTCTTAGTTGCCTTCTTGGCCTTGCCTGTAATTCCCTGTAATCTGTTCCTTCTGCCTAGATGTCCTTCTTTTTTTTGCCTTACCTGATTTTTTTGTTCTTTGGATTTATTTTTGCAGAGCGGCACTTTGAAAGATGGCCAGCTGATCTAGCTGAGGTATGAGTTATATGGGGGAAAGCACAGTGGTCACTAAAATTTAATTTAAACAAATCTTTGAGAATTATTACTTACAACTGACTTAAACTCCCATCAGCATGAGAAATATCCTGGTTTGATAGTTCTGATTAATAGTTTAATATAGCAGCATCCAGGTGTATACAAGAGATTTATTTTCTTAGCCATTTGAAGCTTTGTGTAAATACTGGAGGAGATGATTTGGACAGAGCCTGTCTTAAGATTCCTTGGTAGGTGCCATAACGCTCTGCCAAGATAATTAAACTTGAGTAAAGGGTTATTACTAGTATTCTAGGGCTGCTTGCATACTGTAGACAAAGGGACAACTGGGAGAGACAAAACCCCAGACCTCCGCTTATTGGGCCAGTGGTCTCTGTAGAAGCTGCTGCTTTTAGAAAACGTGAACTGTTTTTACCTAGCATGGTGAATAGCTTGGTGAAGAAAAAAAACTGCCTTAGGCTATCTTTAGTCATGTTCTGCCAATGATTTAAAGTTTCCAAAAAACTTGTTTCCTGTAAGCTTGTGGAAAGCACCATGCTCAAGGGAAGACTTGTGCTTTCATTAATATAAGTTTTAGAAGCTGGAGCATCTGTGATTTTTCTTTCTTTTTTTTTTTTCCCCTGTTTGAAGACACTCATTTTACCAAACTACATCCAAGAACAGAAAACAGCGTGTCTCGAGAAGACGTTATATACTTACTCTTGAGGAAAGGCATAGATCTTTTTGAAAACTATGTTAGTTTGAAAGAAAGATCAGCTTTGCTATTTGAAAAGGTATTGAATTTGTAAAATCCTCCTAGGTAATTGAGGGATATTTTTCTCCAGTGTATTTGCTTGTTCTTTGTCTGAGGAAATTTGA